GGTACACGTCATTCGATATGCTACCAGCATGATTGAGAGTTCGCAAGCCTCTGGATTTATACATTCACCCATCGCACGAGTTCATTTCGATGATTATTTCATTAAAACTCGATGATTATCGCGAACACACATACATACTCGTCTGCTCGCAATGCATATCGTTGATCTGCGAACGAGACGCGAACGACGTGGACAAGGTGATTTTTTTTGTCGACCGCTCGGTATATTTATTGCGGCGACGTCGTCGTCCAACCGTGACACACGTGTCTCGATGGATTTAAAATTCATTTACATTTTCAAGCATCAGCAACTGGTCATCGATAGAGAACTGCAAGCTGCGTGAAAAAAAAATGAAAAAAAAAACTAGAAAACCGCTCGGAATGATTCAGTGTAGCGTTGACAGCTGCAAATCGGAAACATTTTTCCGGTTGATCATTTTTATAGTACACGAATATCCAGTATACAGATATCACGACGTTACGTGCAGTTCATGCTCGTAAGCAAAACGTTATCGTTATTGAAAATTTTTAAGCTGCATTTATTTTGCATTTGTTTTTTCGCCATTGGTTTATGCACGACCTAAGCGTAAATTTAGGATGAAGAGCTTAATGTTACCGTCGACAATTGCATGCGGCCTACTTGTCTTCTTCTATTCTTCGATCAAAGGTAATTATAAGAGTAAATAAATTCAGTTCATATTACGCTCATATATGCACAAAGATAATTGATTTCATCCTATTCATGTGCTGCAGTCGAGGCACTTATATCGCCGCAACTAGCCGCTCAACCCCAATTTCCTCACGTCGTCGCTGTAATTGATAAATTCAGCCGCCGCACTATCTGCACGGGTGCTCTAATTTCGGAAGCAGCCGTTTTAACCGCTGCTCATTGCGTTACCGATGAAAACGGCAAATTCTTAAAGAAGCACTTTAGCATCATTGCTGGCACGATTGACTTATCCACTCCTCACGTTGAAGTACCAGTCGCAGCTTTGATTGTGCCCACTGCATATAATGGGCGTGGACAAGCAGGCGTGAACGATCTGTATCGAGTCGCTAATTTAGCTGTTCTCAAGCTGGCGGGGAGAGTTCCAAAAAAATCGGTTATAAAACCTTTGCCGATTTCCAGTTCTAGAGCCAGTATAAAGGAAAAATTTGACAAGGCACCAGTGGCTGGTTTTGGAATATCGGAAATCTCACATCATTCTTCGCGACGAGTTGTGAACAATGATGGAAAATTGCATTTTGCATTGATGGAGCCGTTGTCACAGAGCGCGTGTAATTTGCTAGTTTTACTTACCGAAGATAACAGTGCATTTTGTGCAAAAATTGATGCACTTTCGGAGGGCAGTAGCCTCTGTGCAGTAAGTTTTAATTGTTTAATAATCATGTGTTTTATCCTCGAGTACTCAAATTATTTTTTTGCGCACAGGGTGACGATGGTACTCCTTATGTTCTGAACTCGAAAATCGTAGGAATTCTCACTTATGTTCCGAAAACTTGTAATGGCGTGGAAATGAGCCCAATTTTCACTAGAACATCGGCCTATGCAGATTTCATTGAAAACGCCATTAAACACATGTACTTCGATGGTGCACGAGTCGGTCATTACGTTCCTTGGTACAATGATTACGCGACCTCAGGCAACGTCGAAGCGATACAGGTTCCGTAAGGCAGGAAGTCTAGTCTTTTTACATATTGTCAGTAACAAAAAATCAATCATTTCAATTATTTCAATAAAAAAAATTTGAAAACTGAAATCATTGACGAAATATAAGTCGAAGATTGATTTCTGCTTAAACGAATCACATCATTGCAGAACGATGAATCATATTTTGCTGTAGCCAAAGTCGCTTTATACGGAATCGCAACGAAATGATTTAAACGTGCGCGTGTAATAAAGGCAAGTCTGTAAATTTGTCACGAGGACATATGGTAATACGTTCCGAATCAGTACGACTGCTGCATAACTTATAAGTGCAAGAGCTGCGAATAGTATTAATATACGACAATGCGTCATTTACATGGCAGCCTATTATTATCGATGTTTCGGCTCTGGCCTTTTGCAAAGTATCCGCATTTGAATTAGAATATCAGCGCAGTCTTTTCCAACGAAACGTCATTAGATTCATTTACGCGCGTACACGCTCACCGTGGTCGGCTTTTGTTAACAATAGCTGCGCTGCGGTTGACAACGAGTGTTTTGAATCGAAGCCAGCGCATGATTATTGCCGCGTGAAAAATCATCATCGTCGTCGGGTAGTATTTGTGTCAGTGATACCTCAGCTGGGATGTTTGCATGGATTCGACCATCCGTGAATTATCTAATTATTCTAAAGCTGAAACTGAATTGAACAAACAATAATTTGTATGATTTTGGAGCCAATTCAAATTTCAGTCGCATAATTAAAAATACACATTTAGCCAACACTTGCTAATGACATGTATGCCTCGTTTTAATACGCTCGGCATGATGATACGCGAGCCTAGCAAATATCAAAAGAAAATACGAGCGCTCTGCGTAGTGTGTGTGTGCGCAAGCCTCGCTGCACTCCTTCGTGTATTAACATTCTATTTATAGATTTTGTTCATATACATTGTAGGTCCGTATTGGTGTAGTGCAAGGGCAAATGTGTATGGCGCCTGCACGAAGAAAGATGCGTGCGACTCTTTTTTGCGTACTAATTTTGTAAAACGTGACTGACACGTGCCTCTGCGCGCGCAGTTTCGTACACAATTTTAATATCTTTTTAACGCGTTTACGACGGGAAAAATTAAAAAAGTGAGCCCGTTTCCTCAAATCATCGCGCGACAATTTGGAAACAAAGGAGTCGGCTTGTCATCGCCGGTTAAATTGGTATAATGACACTGATTTCTCTGCTGATGCTGCTGCTATTGCAGCGGACGCAGTTGTCTGTTAAAGACCATTTATTTTGAAAGCGCCTCATTCGTGCGGTTTCCGAAGTTTTTGATCATCAAAGCAAAAGCCTATAAAACAACAGTTACAGATTTTTCTCATAAGTTCCAATGCCCGTACATACACGTATAAAGCCGCGCATGAGCACATAACGTCGGATTCATAACGAAATAACACTCAACTACATAGACGCTGATGATGATGTGTGCCTTTCAAACGCTTTTTGACGTGTACGATATTCGCATAAAATGTTACAGAGCATGTCATGAAAGTGTAGTTTCGTAGAGGAGCGTTTAAACGCGCGGCTCGGACAAGCACACGCCGCGGTGCGCTTTCGCTTACGCTCGCGTATGTACGCGCGCGCATATGTGTACAAACGTTGATTTAAATAAGCTTTAACCTCTGAAAATAGCTCATATACTGCTCATCGTACGCGCATGTACTGTGCGTTTCGGACGTAGCGAATAACACGCCAACACAATTTTCATGGTTTCTAGTGCTCTCGATTTTCCCCTTTACTATTAATAATTCGGCATGTGAAAATAATTTCGCTCGGGTACTAATGAACAGCGATTTTGCTTCACGTTAGTAATTGCAAGCTTAGCGTGATCGTGCAGTCGCAGAAATATAAATATGTTTCGCGTGCTCGCGAGAATCGTGAAAATTTGCGCGTTGTACCTATTGAATATTATTAAGCGCGCATATATTACACTGCCGTGGAAGTACGAGGCGGGAAAAAAGCTCGTTCATTACACAGGATGCTGAACTTGCACAACAAATTACACAGACAATACGAGCGAGAAGCCAGCAAAAGACATAAATAACCCAAGGTATGATCAGCAAAACGCTGCAAGTTTTTAAATCAAGCGGCAAGCAAAGAAATACCGAAATACAGCGGATAATTACTCTTTCCATAAGGCCGAGAGGAAGAGCGAGACAGCGAGAGGGAGAAAGAGAGAGAGAGCCAAGACGCTTTGAAAAGCTCCCACGAGGCCGTTTGCAGGTCTTTATACATTACGCCTAGACACACTTCTTTGTGGCCCCTGCGCGGACGCGCATTCCTTCTCTTTTTGCCTTTCCGACTCTCTGTCTTTCTTTCTCTTTCTCTACCTCTCTCCCTCCGTCTTTACTCTATTTGCGACCCAAAAAGAAAAAGGCGCAAGCCTCGAGGCTTGATAAGCATCGGTCTCAAACGCGATATTGCACGCGAGCGCGCGCTGAAATGAACGTAAAATTGAAAAACAATGCCTAAGCTTTTATATTTATTATGATTTTTTCGGACTCCGCTATGGTGTCAGAGCGTGCGCTTGGCGAAAGGAGGCTTTGTGCATTGTGTGTGTACAATCTATCGGGATGCGGGACAGCAGTGTATAGCAGCACCGGCAAGAGAGAGTGAGTGAGTAAGTAATATAAGTACGAAGCTCGAGGGTATTATCTCGTGCACTCCGTTGCAGCGAGTTCTCGCGCGCCAAGCAAGCAAGCAACAGACGTATAAGACGTGGACTAAAAGGGAAAGAAGAGCCTTGGCAAGTTGACAAGCTTCGCGCAGATACTGTCTTTTGCTGCTTTTCGCCTGTACATTTCTTTTTCCCTCCGTTCGGACTTACCGAAGCTATATAGCCAGTAGCTACTATATGAAAACAAAGCATTTCCTGCACTAGCTGTATTTGCCGCGCGCGTATACTTTCTTCAACGTACAGTCCAGAGAGGGATGGAGAAAGAGAGACAAGTACTTCGGAGGAAGTGTGTAGCCGCGTTACTTTTGTCGCAAGCGCAAACCCAGGCAAACTTCAAAAGGCGCGCGCACATATTTATGCGCGCGTCAGTCCTATATGAGTACATAGCTCGAGAGAGAGAGACGCACAAGTGTGTTTATATCATCGCCGAGCGTGGATATAAAGTCGTAATGTCAAAGTGTAATGGGAATGTAATGACTGACGACGCTAGACTGCTGCAGGCAGTACAAACGACGACATCAAAATACCGCCATATACGCGCCGCGCCGAGTTTTCGCGGCTCTCGGTGCGTATAGAAGTGTATTCCAGGGCGAATCTGTGAGAAAGATATACCACATCGCATGCTTAGGACGACTCGAAGATATATGCCGCATTAGGATGTAAATTTGCGAGCTTTATTATAAGAGTTGGAATTGAATTTTAGTATTATATGCCCTGGCGGAGCACACACACTTCGTCATCGAGCAGGGGGAAGTGGGAGGCCAAAGAGAGAGTGAGAGATTCTAATGAAATTCATCGTGGGTAAAGAGAATATGAAAATTAATAATCGGCGCCGTGATTTCTCAAATTGCTGTGAGGTGCGATGAAAATTAAAATTTCTCTCTTCTGCTTTATGTGAAGTCCATTAGGTTTTAAATTTCAAGCACGGGTATACTTTATTATTGCATAAGATATACAGATACAAGTGTCGGGGATAGTTCAACGAACCATGGTTTTTCTTTCAAATTCAATTATAAATATACACATGGTCGGCAAATATAAGAAAAATTAATGAAAAAGCTATTGGTATTAATAAAATGATTCGGTGAATTTTCTTAACCCGGCACAAAGCTTGTTTGTGTAACGGACAAGTTATAAATAAAATGATCTATAATTATGATGTATGAGCGTACTTCGTGTTATTTAAAAAAAATCAAATTCCAAACTGAGATCGGCATGTCTGCATAACGCGTCTATAGATATTGCTTTTGCAGATATGCCCAAGTGTCAATTCACGTCAAATTGGATTCATCGCGTAGTAGCTCAAGCTGCGGGCGGATGTCAAGTTCCCGTGGACGTTTAAGCATACATGTGCGTATTATATGCAGGTGGGGTGCTATAGGCAGCAGCAGAAACGTCGTCGCATTTACACCTCATCAATTTTGATACGCGTCGTGTATGCTATGTGTACTATTACTAGGCGCGCAGGTGTTCGACAGGCGCAGCTGAAGTCACAATGTCATTGTGCTGAGGTGTATACGCGTCGGTCGCGTCTACTGCAAGACGTGCAGCCATGGAACAACTTGATTGATATAATCTGAGATTCGAAATCTTTGCCTGTGCAGAGATATCGCGGAAATGCGGCGCTGATTTATAAGCTGCCACTATTACTACCTCGGGTGCAGTATAATAACTGCGCTGCCGTGGAAATAGTGTCGTGCTTCAAGTTTTCATTCTAAATATACGTAATGTCTTAAATAACCATCATCAAGTCGTTCGGGTGATTACGGACTAAATGATTAAACTGCGATGAAAGAGAGAGGCTTTACGCGCGGACTCGCGAGACTCAAGCTCTCTCTCTCTCGACAAATATATATCTACGCTGTCACGCGCACATGCATATACCTATACCTCTCTACACATGGAGCGTAGCAAAAGCTATTCAAAGAGCATTCGGCATTAGCCCTAGATCTCTCTCACTCTGCCGAAAGGGGGCTAGTTTAGCTATATATAATGCTGCTTTCGTGAAATAACGGAAGGTAGTTTTGAATTTTACGATCGGCGCGCTCTGGAAACTACTGCAGATATACGTTACGATCGATTCCCAACTTTTTTCATGATATTCGATCATTGATATAATTAGGGTGCCGCTGCTGTTCCGCCACTAGTTCGCTTAAATAAAACATCTTCAAAAAGTTTTTGATTCACGGTCGCGAACTTTTACGATTTTTTGCTCGTATTTATTTTATTGCCGTATCAGAGTTCAAAAAGGTTTACGATTTTTTGCCTGTGACGCGCACGGCGCGACGACCGCATTACTATATAGTTGATGTGTGTGTACTGCATGTTATGCGCACCGTCGCACGTTGTTGTTTTTCGCCCCGTTGCGAAAACTTCATGAAATGTA